GAATTCGTATATATAAATGTCTTCTGTTCAAACGATCAAATATCGATCATTCCTTGAATCAAAGATTTTGAAGTTAATCTCTTTGGTTCGAGAGAATAATTTCACGGATCTATTTTTAAGAATCAAACTTCTACTTCTTAATTCTTGTTCATAATAAGTATTTATTAATTTAAGAGTAGTTAATTTACGAATAGTTCTGTCAATTTTGTACTCATTCCATTAAAAACAATTCATTATGTATCAAAGTTTCATTCGATCACCAAGTCCGATACGTCGCGTTAGTACTTTGTTATCTCGTGGCTATCACAAAACCACAAACACTTCAAATCGGGTATTCAATTCTACCACAAGTCGAATATTTACTCCACCCACCACCCCCCTACTTCACAAATCGCACAACCTTAAACAATTCTCAAATTCACATATTACACCTTTATGTTCTACGAAAGGTCGAATCTCCTATCATTTTTATAGTACAGCTGTTAACGATCATTCAAGACCGATTAAACAAACCAGCGAATTTGAATTTACTGATGCACCTAAGGTTGATGTAAAAAAAGTTCTTGTTGTGGGATCTGGTGGTTTATCCATTGGCCAAGCGGGAGAATTTGATTATTCTGGTTAGTCATCCCTTCGATTTCTAAATATGTAACAATGAACATAAACTTATATGCCTAATGTACACGAAATACAGGTTCACAAGCCATCAAAGCCTTGCGCGAGTCAGGCGTTCGCACAGTTTTAGTAAATCCAAACATCGCTACCATTCAAACATCACATGCATTGGCAGATACAGTATACTTCCTTCCTGTCACCGTTGAATACCTTACACACATACTTGAACGAGAACGACCTGATGGAATTCTTCTTACTTTTGGTGGCCAGACTGGTCTAAACGTTGGTATTCAATTGGACCAAATGGGTGTTTTGTCTCGTCTTGGAATTAAAGTATTGGGTACACCAATTCGTACTTTAGAGTTAAGCGAAGATAGAGATTTATTCGCTCAAGCGTTGAAAGGTGCGGGTTTAAAAAAAATTGTTATTATTATTTGCATAAATTTTTTAACATGGATTCATAATTTATGCAGAAATTGACATTCCTGTTGCCGAATCTACTGCTGTGTCAACAATCGATGACGCACTTGCTGCTGCTGAACAGATCGGATACCCAGTCATCGTTCGTTCAGCTTATTCTCTTGGTGGTCTTGGATCGGGTTTTGCATCAAATCCTGATGAACTTCATAGCTTAGCAGCTAAATCATTATCTTTGGCACCACAAATCCTTGTGGAAAAGTCAATGAAGGGTTGGAAAGAAGTTGAATATGAAGTTGTTCGTGATGCTGAAAACAATTGTATTACTGTTTGTAATATGGAAAATTTTGATCCTCTTGGTATTCACACTGGCGATTCAATTGTCGTTGCTCCAAGTCAAACACTGAGTGATGAAGAATATCACATGCTAAGGACCGCTGCTATAAAGATTATTCGTCACCTAGGGGTAGTCGGCGAATGTAATGTTCAATATGCATTAAATCCAGAAAGTCTTGAGTATAAAGTCATAGAAGTCAATGCGCGTTTGAGTCGTAGTAGGTTGGTATATATTTTCATTATGCATTACAAAATTTTCTGTTGAATATGTAATCAACTGACGGTTATATTAACGTAGTGCCCTAGCCTCAAAAGCTACTGGATATCCTCTTGCCTTTATTGCTGCTAAGATTGCTTTGGGTCACACGCTTCCAGAACTTCGAAATTCAGTCACAAAAACAACTACTGCGTGCTTCGAGCCTTCCTTAGATTATATCGTTACAAAGATTCCAAGATGGGATTTGAGTAAATTCCAACATGTCAACCGTGAAATTGGGAGTTCGATGAAAAGTGTTGGCGAAGTTATGGCAATTGGCAGGACCTTTGAAGAAAGTTTGCAGAAGGTAATATACATTAAAATATTTAACGAGATACGTTTATTAGGATAATTCAAAATTTTATTAATAAAGTTATTCAAAACGAATTTAGGCCATTCGTCAAGTCGATCCTTCATTTAAAGGCTTCCAGGCATTACCCTTCCCAGATCTTGACAATGCCCTTAATGTTCCCACGGATAGACGTTTATTTGCCATAGGTCATGCTATGCTTGAAAAGAATTACACCATAGACCAAATTCACAATCTTACCAAAGTTGATAAATGGTTCCTTCACAAACTTGGTAATATTGTGAATATTCAGCATGATATTAAGCACGCAGGAGATCTTGAAAATGTATCCAAGGAATTGCTTCAAGATGCAAAGAAGAAAGGGTTTTCTGATGCTCAAATTGCTTTAATGTTACAAAATACCACGGAAGACCAAGTACGACAAAAAAGGAAAGGTTACGGGATTACACCATACGTCAAGAGGATTGATACTCTTGCTGCTGAATTCCCTGCTCAGACAAATTACTTATATACAACTTATAATGCTTCAACAAATGATATTGAATTTAACGAACACGGAACTATGGTCTTAGGTTCAGGTGTATATCGAATTGGCTCGTCAGTTGAATTTGATTGGTGTGGTGTATCTGCTATTCGTTCTCTCCGAGATATGGGCAAGAAAACTATCATGGTGAATTACAATCCGGAAACTGTTTCAACAGATTTTGATGAATGCGATAGACTTTACTTTGAGGAACTTTCATATGAAAGAGTCATGGATATTTATGAGGCAGAAAAAGCTCAAGGTGTTATTGTTTCAGT